CCAAGCCCTCCTGAGAAATAAAAAAGAACAGATTCTTTCACCTGAAACTTCTGTGGAGATGTTCCTCTGTGACTTGTCATTGTTGGCTCAGCTCAGCTAAGGCTGACTCCTCACTGTGAGCTTGCAGAAGGACCCTGAAGCGTGATCTCCACAAGGCAGGGAGACTTAAAGCCTCTGACAATTTATTCATGCAAGATCCTGGTTCAGAGAGCAGCTGAAACCCTCAGCAAGTTCTAATGAATTTGTCACCCTGTGTAACTGGGGATTCTACATTCAGCATTGTTTTTCACAACAGACACACCAAATTGCCTCTGCAGGAAAAAATCATCAGCACTCTTATTCTCCACTGCAGAGCCTGGTGTGTAAAGACAGATGCTGGGTTTGGAGTAGGAACTCCAATTTTAAAAGGAGATGACAGAATGCTGAAGTCAACTTTAAAATACCTTCTGATCGTTCCCCCCACCAAGTTTCCTTTCAGCATTAGAGAGCAGCAGTTTTACCACACTGATACACAGGGGTAACCAGATTTTTCCATATGGGTAAGTACACAGACATGTTCCTGACCTCATATTCCTGCACTGTCTTTGAAACCTACAGCTACAATCAAAGGCAAAAGTCCTCAGCCAAACTGCTACTGTCCCCTGCCTTACTGGGGGGCATTCCAGACCAGCCACAAGTTTGTTTTCAGTGTGTCCCTTCCACAAAAGTTGTAGTGTACTGGGAAAGAGGAATGCAAATAAGATGCTATCTATTTCTAGACAGCCGAAGGATTAGCTCTTAACTATTTTCTTTGCATGAAAACATGTGGTTACAAGAGCTGTTGAATGAGTAAATAAAAAGATAAAGTTAAGTGAACCAGATAACAGAATTTGAAATAACTACAATTCATGATAATATATACTGCTGGTCTTGCTTAGGCTTTGCTAATCACTAATTTGAAGAATAGGTTATTCCTTTCCCTTAGCCTGTGTCTCATTAGTCATGTTCCAAGGCAACAGGTTTCCATGACAGCAAACATTAACTCTCTGGGAGCACAGCCCGTTATTTCTGCTACGAACACTAAGCTTTCACTACTATACTTTAACCTAGACCAGCTATCTTCATGAAAAAAAAATCCCTGAAATATCCTAACAGACATTTAAATCAACAGCTGTATTTTATTTGTACTGTGACCTTGCCAAGGAACATGCAGGCTATTGAATTTAGTAGGAATGTCATCAACTCCCCCAGAAGGATGCTGTTACCTGGTCTGAGCTCACAAATTCTGGCAGCCATCTAAATTGAAAATACAATGATGCAAGATGATGATGCAGACTCCATGCTCATAAAGACACTGGATAAAGTTAATGAAAACCCCACCATAGGGATTAACTGCAGAACTGAGACCTTTGGGTTTAGTCATCTTATGCAGGGTGAGAGCAAAATCCCCCTCACACAGGAGCTGTACTGACAGAAATATTTTCAAACGCATTTTCAGTGGAGCAGAACGTCATGGACAGGCAGGGATAGGAGTTCTCTCTCTGTATGAACTGTTATTTTGAGGGGACTGTTAACTGAATGTCTCTGGGTATCTTTGAAAGCCCCACTCACAGTTACACTCTTGTAATCTTTCCTTATAAACCAGTCCCTCCTGACACCTAATGTACCGGTTTTGCACGCTGTATTACTCCAATACAGCACAGTGCTAAGCAGAGGATAGAAAAATGTGTTATCTATGCAAAGGACTGTAAAATAAAGGAAAAAAATGGTAAATCATCCTTTTATAAGTACAGCATTATTCTGTCCAGTGAAAATTCAGACACAGACTCACATCCAAACTTTACTGTAAGTTTCCCACCTGAGTTTCTGGAAGCACAGCGGGGCTTCGCAGGAGCAGTGAGGGGGACACGTTCAAGATTCCCTTTCAGTGGCTCTTTGTTAAACAAAGGATGATGGGAGGTAACCTAAATGTCAGTTTTTTTCCTACAGTTATTTGTAAGAGTTGACACCTTTTAATGAGCCATTACACTCAGAAATTCATAATGAAAAAAGAAAACAAAAATTATAAAAATGGATCCTATGAGATCCTGCCACTCTTGCCTCTCACTCATGATGATCTGTCATACTTTTAATATTCCTTTTGACATTATTACACTTATTTTTACCCCAGTCTAATATCTGTCTCTTTCTTTTTAATTGCCATCATATGTTCAAAGATGTCACAACTCATGAGTTGCAAACAGAGAACCAGCTCTGTCCCAGCTGGTGAGTAGTAAGATCACAAGAAGAATCCTCCAGGCAGAGATGCCCGTATGAAAATCAAGCAGCTCTTTGTTAGATGCAGCTGGCAAAAGCAAGGAAGGGAATCTAGGCTAGCAACATGACTGTGATTCATGGTTATTTTAGTAAACACAACTTTGGAAACTAGGAGATAAGTACTTGAGGCTTGTCAGCAAGGTGAGAGTTTAGGTAACTGCAAAAGATGAGATTAAATGGGGAAAACTGTTAAGGAATCTGCTGATACCTTTTTGGATAATAATTTCATAAAGTCATCTCAGAAAACTTTACACTGAGCATTGCCTAGTATAGTCAGGCAAGTCGAAAAGAGCAAATATAAATGAAATGGGCAATGCTTCCCAGCTCTGTCAATTATGTACAAAGATACGTGCACCTCCTGCTCTAAGAAAAATCAAGGAACTAAGATAACAAGAGAGACATCAATCTTCTGATGAGCTCTGCTCCACAGTGCACTGATCTATGCAGAGTCCTGTTGGTGGCAATGGAGTTCCACAGAGATGGAGACACAGGCATTCTGACAGTGACCTAAGGGTAACCTGACAATAACGGGGTTTCATTTGGGCTTCTTCCCTTTGGGAAAGTTGGGTTGAGTTGAATTCCATTACAAAACCATTCAGGTGAGTAATCCCTTTCTCACTGTAGATTGTAAAAAGTATAAATACAAGTTTTATGCTTCAAACCAATCTGGTTTTAAGTATGCCATACATGCAGGCTGACACTAGCAAAACTCACATTAATTAATGCTCCCCTGCCTGCTTTGTGTAGCCCACCTGTAGGCAACAGGAAACTGAAGACATTTCTTAGAGCATGAACATAATTTAGCAGTTCTTTAGAGTACTTGACATATACTTTCCATTCAATTTTGTAGTACAAAGGCAGGTGGCACAACAAGCACACCATATTCCAATAAACTTTTGCACTAAGCAAGGAAACCATACTAATTCCTTCACACTTCTCAAGTTGAGACTGGATACATCAGTTTGGCAATGCTGTTCATTTCAGATGCTATACTGACATGGCTAAGTACCCCTAGCTAGTCTATTATTTTTTTTCCATAAGGAATTCTCCTTCATTTGAAATTACAGGGAAAGAAGTCTTCTAGCTCTCCTTAGAAAAGACAGGTTTATGATATCCTTATTCATACCAAAAATTTTTTTTAAAATCTTATTTTGATATAATCCAGAATTCAAGCAACATGACAGTTTCAAGAGTCAGAGAATCACAGCATGGCTCCAAAAAGGAGAAAAAGCAAATCAAACTACTGATGATTTCACTGAATAGAAGTCACTTACAAAGAGCAGAAGGAGCCTTTTTGTACATTCTGAAGTGGTTTCTTAATCAATTAAACACTCTACTTTTAAAAACTTCATTTCAAACCATGAGAAAATAATATACAACTCATACAATTTCATTAATTTACTATTAAATTGGATGTCTTCAGAGCTATTAAAAGCCCTTCAGCAATTTCACTATTTTTTCAATGCTCAAAGTATCCCTTTGACATCAATGCAGAGAAAACAGATGGATAAAGTAATTATAAAAAGAGCAACATGATGCTATGAAGCAGCTTGTCACAGTTTTACTATCAGACCAGGAAGCACAGGCAGAAGAGGGGGCTGACAATCAGCACAGTTGCTGTGTTAGGTCAAAGTGCCCCCACCCTCCAAACAACCCCTGTACCCCTCCCTGGGAAGATACAAACGGACTAGGAAAGGAGGAGCAATGAAAAAAATCAAAGTAAGCATGCAGGACATTTAAAGATTAGAAAAAGCCTTGAAAGAAAATACTGACTGTACACCCCAGAAATCAAGGAAATATATCTTGACTGGAAATGTGAATCAGTGCTTGGATCATTCTGGCATATTTGTCTGATAACGTGCCTAATTTTTGTACAGGATAATTTTATGATTTGACAGAGACAAAACATCTAGCTGTGAGTTATGGGCTAATAAAGAGAATTTCCCTGAGCTTTGAATTCTGTTAAAGGAGGAAATTCTCTCTGCAAGGAAGCCAGTTCAATCAATTTACAGGGTCCAAATTGCACTGAAAGACAGTTATGTTAACACAGCCGGTTCCACACATACACAGCTACAATGTTTTAAGATACAGTAAGAGACACAGCCCAGCTGACTCTTCTATTTTACCCTTTTTGCAGCTTGCAAAGTTAAAAAAAACTGTTTTAATTGTCCAATCTTCACAAAAATGGGCCATGTTCAACTACTTGAAAGCTGATCATCCCAAGAGGTGTGTGAATTTGAGACTGGAAAATTTTAAAGGGAAATATGGGTTTTGGTGGATACCAAACAATATATGAGATTATCTTCATGCTAAAATCCCAAAGACTAATTTTTTCCTCTTCAGGTTATCTCCTGCTCTCAAGCTGCACACTTCCAAAGTTTGGAGCCTTTGCACAGGTCCAGGGGATCTAGGAAGGGGATAGGAAAATGAGGAGGAAGACAGAGACAGGCCATCCACATGCAGCAGCAGAAAGGATTCATTAAACCTAGGAGAAGCCTACCTCCAGTCAGAACAGTCTTCCAGATCAAATGGAGGCATGGAGTGCACTCTAGTAGCAGTTGGAGCAGTCTTATTAGCAGACTAGAGCAGAAAAGAGAGGGAAGATCGTGAAAGAAGTGGGCTGGCCCAAAGAGATGCATATTTCTTCTTATGCTAGATGGGTTAATCTTGGCACAAAAAGCTTATGAAATCAGGGCCCACAACAATTTGGCTTTTAGAAAAAAAATTATTATTAGAGAGAATAATCCTTACATTCAAAATAATGGACATTTGTACAAAAGTAGAGTCATACAGTCAGCAGTGAACCAAAACTGGTAAAAATATCTCTTCAAAGTACTGTCAGAGTAGCATTTTATGATGACAAAATCTGTAGCTAAAAGACATGGTAAAAAACAAGAGTTCAGTCCAGCAAGGAAAAGAGAAAACTACACCCAGGGTAATAACAACTCTGGGAAACTCATATGCAGAGTAATGCAAAGTACAGAACTGTTAAACCCTTTGCTACATCAGCTGACCTTCATCTTCACCATTATACAAACAAACCCCTTCAGTTATTGGTTTTTGGTATTTCTGAGAATCTGGCACTTTGGGAAGCAATTTCAGGAAGTGCATTGTAGAGGTGCATACAGCAGTTTTCTCTCCAGGTAGTTTAACATTAAAATGCAGGCTTGTTCATGTATTCTTCCACTGTCTAGAAAAAAAAATAGAAGAAAGAACTGATGCATTATGGAGTGGTACAGTAATATTCATACAAAACCTCTTGTCCTCCTTGAGGACAGTTGTAGTTTTACATGGAATTAGATCAGATTAATTAAAATGTAGAAATAATTCTGCTTTAAAAACATGTAAACAGTGGTTTAGAATCTGATCCTCAAATCATGACATACCACAGCTGTGGCTAAACTCATCGTGCCGAGTGGCCTCTGTACACAGCTGGCTGAGTTCCACGTGCACATGACAGACCACTGGGAAAGCTGCTCAACTCACACAGAGTGTCCTGAGCTAGTTCTGCCCATGTGCTGCTTCCTTCAGAATTAGGATGGATCCTTCACTATCGAGTTAAAAATGAAATAAATCCATCCCATGCAACTGCTTTTGCCATTCCCGGCACAACACCAGAGAATTCCTGAATTCTCTGCAGGGTTCTGAATAAAGGTTACATATCTGTGCCTGGCAGAACTACACAGGTGCTTCTGAATGGAAGTGGAGTTTGCCAGCACATGCTCTTTCCAATTTTAAATGTTAATAGTACGTCATCTGTTTCCAATGTACTAGTGAAACACAAGAGATTTTTCCATATTTATATATACATATCTATACATAAAATATAATCTTAAAATATGATCTTATAGAAATATCTTTGATGCATCTTAAACTATTTCTTAATACACTATCTGTGAAATTCTAGCAGTTAAACTGCAAGAGAGCAACAGCCATATATAGTCTCCACATGATTGATTCCAAGAGGGTTGAACTGAAAGCTTATGTAACTGCACTGTTGTACCTGTTGAAACTGAATGCAAGACACACTTGGATAATTAAATAACAGAAGTGCTTAGCTGTGTTTTCAGCTCCTGTCAAACAAGGAAGATGTAGGAAGATGATGTGTTTGCCTTTTGTCTTCCTCTGCCTTACCTCCTGCAACATGTCACAGTCTTCTATGGCTTTCACTGCGGTCTTCTTTGAAGTTTCTTGTACTTCTCCACCAATTATAAACTCATCAAGAATAAAATAAGCTTTTTCAAAATTAAAGATAATATCCAGCTCACACACCTGCCAGAAAAAAAGGACATATCACATTTAAACCACTTTTACAACATTATAAGCACTCCTGGCTCAGAAGTTGTTGTGTTAATCAAATATACTCAACATATGCACTCTTGTTGCAGGTACCAGGGTGAAGAAAGAAACTGCATGTTATGTAATGTTGAAGCCTCTTCATATAAACAGACTTACAGCAAAGACATTCCACTTATTATTAAATCCATACTGGCTCTCAGAGAACAAAGTAGACTTCCTAGCCTACTAACCTTATCACAGGTCCTACATAGCCCTTGCAATATGGGTTTTACTGAGAAAGACAAATTCCCTGCCTAGTGACAGCCACCAACCACTGTTGTGTTTTGAGGTGGTACAGACACGAGTCATGGCACACTGACTGAAATGAGATGAATTAAGGTAGTCAGCATAGTTTCAAAAATATTCACAGAAAAGATGGGTCTCTTGTAGTCTTCAAAGACTTACTAAAAGACTTACTTGGACCTTCTTCAGGTCTTTTCTTTGAAAACACACCCAGTTTATATTTTTCCTCGTTCTGTGTCCTTAAGTGTTATGCAGTATTATGAAGCAAACAAAACCAGTATATCTGAAGACATCAGGAGGGAGAATTAAAGTACTTTACCCCAGGGTTTTTTTTAAAAGTAATTTTCCTCAAGCTTTCTCTTCAAATTCTATTCCAAGACAGACATACTAAGTATCAAGATTAATTTTGGGGGGGGAGGAGGGGGAAGAAAGGATGGAAAAACAATCTTATGATTGTTTCAGCACTATTTTATAAATAACTCTAATAATGAATTTCACTCTGGATTGAGAAAGCCTGCAGGGCAAGTACTGCAGATGGAAATGTGAAGTAAATGAGCTTCACCTAGCTTTGTTTATCAGACACAGGAATGAGTTCATGGGAGAAAGTGAAACCTACGTTTCCAAAGTATTTGTCCAGGAGCTCTACGTATCGATGAACAACCTCTAGTGTCAGGAGCTCATTATCCTGGTCTTCTATTGCACAGCAGAAATACAAACTGGCATACCTGGGGAAACAGAGGCAAAAACATGAGAGTGAATAGCTGGGACCTCAGTGCTCTGCTTGTCTCTTAGTAGTTACTCGTATGACAGTTAATTCCTATCTAGTCTCTAAAATAAACATTTCCTTTCATTCTTATAGTATCCCAGAAAACACTTTGAAAGATCAGAGAATTTAAACAAATTTTAGTGAGACCAACAAACTCCACCCTTGGTAAAGTGGGATACCTCCAACACTGGTTGGGATAAAATAAACAATAAATCAGTAGTACTTTCAGGTCTCTCTCACCTGCTGTAATAGCACTATAGTAAGTGGGGTTAATTAAACTGCAGGACAAGCTACTCCTCCTAATTAAAAAAGGCAAAAATAAAGGTGAAAGGCGTCACATCTCAGTAAGCCTGCTGGCTATCAAATGACAGAGGGCCAGAATGCATGAAACTGCTTAACCAAACAACCTTCACAACTAACTTGCAGCAAAAACTTTTATGTTTAAACCAACCTAAGATGCAAGAACGATCCACCTCAGTTCGCTGGTGCTCTGGCTGGCTCAGAGCAGCTGATCAGATGTCTATACCCCTCCTTTCACTGCATGGAACTCAATTTTTGCTAAATGGGAGATGTTGCTTAATTTGTCCAGCTACACCTTAAGGCTACTTTTGTTTGCTACAACTTTAGAAGAATGAACAGGGAGTAAACGTTAGGTATTGTGTAACTGGGAACCAGTGATTTCTTTGGAAAAGGAAATGGGAATTAACACTTTCCAGAGCAACAAATATTTCAAAGACAAAATTTGGCAAAATGTTGGAAGTACCTCAGAACAGTTCTTGCAGCCCCCCAAAGAGCCTGATAAAGCCCAGCACACATCCCAGCAGGCTACCTTGTTGAATTAGAAGGCACAGTGAAGTCTAGAGCCTTCTAACCACCAATACTTTTTAGACTACTCCCATGTTTCTCATTTGACAAATTGTACAAGCATTTTGCACCCCACAATTTACCCTGCTGGTTTGTCCAGGGACACTGCATTGTTATACACAGATGGCAGGCTCCTAACTGAGCCTAGCACTAAGAGTGTTGTTTGCTGCTTTTCTTGAAGTGAGCCTTTACTCTTCTCTTCTAGTATGTGTTATTCAGATGAATAATAATTATACGTTCTTATAAAATTACTCACACCTTTTGTAAACAAGCTTGAGGTCTTTCCAGTCAACGAAACTACTTGTTTTTTGATTGCGAGACAAAATAATCTGAACAATTTCTCGAATGATCTTTTTCTTCTCTTTATCAGGTAGCGTCGTGTACCATTTCTGAAGCCTTAACTTCCCCTGCCGACTGAACAGCAGTATAAAGTGTATCTAGAGTAAACAAAGCAACATGGTTAACACCAGGGCCACGGCCAGAGAAGAACAGTCCTCTGCCCATTGCCAGAAATCTTGAGTCCTGGCCACGCATCTCCAGTCTTGGTGTGATGTTTGGACATGATGTCAGTAAGGTCCACGGGAAAGATCCCTCCTCTCTCCTGTTTTTTCCCCAGGCAGCCCTCCCCTCCCTGTGGGACCTCTTCCCTAGGCCAAACCCTTTGCATCCTCTCCTACCCATCCTTCCTTACCTTGTGCAAACAGTAGCTTTGATTCCTTTTCTGTCTCTGCCCTGGGGAACAGGAGGAGCATCACCACTTTGCAGTGGTGAGAAGAGGGCACCACCCCCTCCTCCAGCAAGATCAGATACCTCAGTGAAGGGAATAAAGACTTATCCACAACAGGGCTAGGGAAATCAAGATCAGTGTGGCAGAAGACTAGAAAAATGAATACCGAGACAGTAATCGTAATCACTAACAATTCTGATATTTCAGGTCACAAACAAAGCAGCAGGTTCCTAGAAGAGGCAATAAAGGGCAGAAGAACTTTGGAAAGGAGGCTTGACTAGTTTTACTAAAGAAATCAGCAGACTATGAAACACAGACAATTGTGATGATGGACAGACCTCACTGAGCAGGGATATATTATATTAAGTAAAGTATAATATCTACGCTGTTCTAAAATCTCCAGTTTAAAGCTAGTCATAATTTTATAGGGTTTGACTCATGATTTTTTCATGCTTAGCATAAGCAGTATTACTGAAATACACAAGAGCCAGCTTTTAAATGCCAGTGGGGCTTTGGGAGAAAAGTATCAATTCACATTTATACAAATACTTCTATTAGCAGGTTAAAATAACTGACCCTAGTGTATGTGAGCAGTACAATAAGCCATTTACTCAGAGTGCAGAAATGGTGTTAAGAATGCAGGGCATCTATTTGAGGAGGACATCCTTCTCAACAGAACATCCTCTGCTAAATGGAAAACAACTCCACAAACCCACCTAGGGGGGATAGAGATGTTTTCAATGGCTGAAGACACTGTGAACTGCCCTGTTCTTGACAGGCACCCCCATTGCTGTTCTCACCAGTACCAATGCCTGGAGGCCAGGGCTGTGCAGGAAGGATGTCTAACTGTGGTCACATCCATGTGCATGATGACAGGTGCACTGCTGCTTGTCTGTGCAGTGACTGATGGCTTCCCTGGATCCCAGGAGGACCAGGGAGAAGCACAGGAGCCTTGCTTTCCTCACTTGCTCCCAATCCTTGCAAAGTCCCAACAGAAGATCTGGGAGATCCCTTACCACAAGCCCATTCCCATTAGCCTAACCTTACCCTTCCCTTTAGTTTTTCAATCTACACCCTACTCCCTTCTGCTTCTTGTTTTCTATTCCAGGTTATTACTGTACCTATACTTCATCACTCCATTTCCCCAGTGAGGCTTATAAAGTTAATGTTCACAATCACTATCAAGATTACAATGCAAATTTCTGTAAAGATAAAATCACTCCACGCTCTGGTAAAGTCTGAGCAGAGAAGTGTACCAGAGAAGCTTCTGCAAAATAGAAAAAAAAGAAAAAGCTACTGGATTTTAAACAAAGCATTCATTCATAATTCAGAACCATTCTCTAGCTATTGAGTTGCATAGTTATTGAGTAATCCAAAGATAAGAGAAAGATATCGAGAAAGACTTCAAATATAGGATTGTTTTAGGGAAAGGAGGACTGCTTTATTCATGTGTCTGTGGCAGCATCTACTGCTGGAAAAAAGGCTCTCGCTATCACTAGTCTAATGTGCTTGATAAAATTACAAGGATTTTGTAGCTGCCTTGTGCTGAGTCCTAAAATACCCTCCAGACGAGCTTGCAAATAAAAAGTATGCTGCTGGCAGTACACACACCCTGATTACAGTGAAGAGCAAAGCACCATGTTTCTGCCTTTCTCTGCTTATATTACCAACTGGGTTTGACATGGTAGTATTCCAGCTGCCAGGGTTACCCCCTCCCAGAACATGTAGGGACAGCACTTACTGTCCATACACTTGTCCACTGAGAGGAGCTGGATGAATGAAAGGCTATTCTGCACAGTACATTAACTCCAAAGCCCTTGTAAAGATGAATATGTTTTGAAAAGCTGAGCACAGGTTAAACAGATATGAGCAGCAGGTCAGGCGGAGTCCTTCTAAAAGCCATCGGGTACAGGTAGCAGCTATTTGATAAACAAATTTCTAAAGATATGGTGAATCATCAGATCGGAGAGGATGATCAGTTTTGACTGAAAATGCCAGGGAATTAGTCAGTGAAACCCTATCAAAAGCTGACAGTATGTTCAGCATAAGACTGTGAGATTTGAGACATCTTCAGGAAGAAATGTATTTGCCTGCAGTGCTTTAACAGGGAAAGAAAATGAAAGGATATTCTGGTTTACTTGTTGGACCCTCAGTTGTTGGACCCCACAGACCTTAAATCTGAGTGCCTGCAAGTAATACATGTATATCTCCAGGAGAGCAACCTTATGCTTCTAAAAGGTTAAATAAATACCAACAAACCAGGGAATCACTGTGAATACTACCATTATTTTTTGCTGATTAGTTACTTCAGGATGTTATGTTTCACCCATAGCAAAGTGCGATGCTCTTCACTTAAAACTGCTTTGAGAATTCCATTGGTTCTTCTAAGAATGCAGTTGATGTCTCACCACCACTTTCATGATCAGAGGCAACATTCTTTGCAATCAGAAAAGATCTATTAATGCTCCTAAATGCACCAAGATTCGTACACAAGCTCCAAAATCACACTGTTTCATATGCAGAATATAACTGCATACATCATATGGTAATTTTTACAGAAATATATGCAGCTAGAAAATTGGTAGAGCCTCTACTGTAGTACAATTCTAATTTCACAGTCTGCATAATAACAAGGTAGATATGACTGCCCAGCTGAGAATTACTGTAACAAAACAACACATTACAAAGCTGCAGATGCTTAGAAGAGAAAATATTGTGGGGGGGTTTTCTCCTCTTTTGGTTCTTCTTCCTTTTTCTAAATTCTAAAACCCCTTCAATCTGGGTTAACTCTCTAGGAGTTGTAATAATATTACATTCTCAAGAGGTTAAATAGCTTCATTCCTGTAAGCATAAGCATCCAACTGTTTCATTCAGTTCAGCTTTGCTCTGCCCAGTCACACTGACATGACATAACACATTCCTCACTCTCATGGCTCTGTTCATTACAGCCCACTGCAAAGATTCTGATGCATCAATAAACCTGGAAATGTTGAAGTACTGCACAAACACAGATCTAACAGCTCATCTGTTCCTTGCTCCTTGACTGTGAAAACATATTTGCTTTCCTATAGCGCCAATGGCAAGATGGAGGTTGATTAAGGATTTTTTCCTTGGTTTCCAGCAGCCAAACTACAAATAGAGGTAGATTATATTGCAATGTTTTACTCATCATTAAAAGTTCTAACTCCAGAGGAAAACAAAGGCAAATGACTTTCTACAAGCAAAATACCTGAGAAGCAGGGTGCTTGGTTCCCTTTGCTACCATCCTATGGGGGTGCTGGCTGTGACTAACAAGCACCAGACCCAGGGGCGATGCCAGAGGGAATTTTTAGGTCCGAGACTGAGTGGGTTGGGATGAGTACAGTTCCTATGAGAGCATCAGCTGCCTTCACATGTGGAGTCTGTGGAGACAAGCTTTGGTCTGGGAGCTGAGTGTAATTTTATTAGCTTGTTTTACTGAATCAGACCCAACCACCTACAGCACTGTGCGAAATGACCTCCGTAAACGTCAGTAAGTAGCCTAAATGACTCCACTTTCTATTTGTAGGCTACTGGAAAAAAATTAGGGTTTTTTTTATAAATCCAGCATTAAAACCAGATTTCTAAACTTGAACTCTATGTTCTCATGCATCTCTGAATCAACTGCTACTTTAAGTTACAAGACAGATTGGAAAGTTATGGGGCCTTCTCTTTTATCAAGATCTACAAAGCTGTACTGGGATAAAAGCTAACACCCTTAGTTTCAGGGCTACAAAAAAATCAAATGGTAGACTTTGACATGAAATAATTTACCAGTAAATGGAACAGACATAAAAAATGCAAAATGCAGGTTTGCACGTTCATGAACAGCAAACAGAAGAGAAGTATGTAAAACTAACACACACTCTGATTTCTTTCCACCTTCCTAGGGAGACCTTTTCTTCCTTTAGCTAATGGGCTGTCATGATCTGATAAGCAGCTCACCCGAGCTTGTCTTCTGGACTGTTCCCTGCCAGGACTGGAGGTCCCCTTTGGTGCAGCCTTCCCCAGTGTTTGGCCATTACACACTCCAGACTGATCAAACATGTTACAGTTGGCTCACTGGTTTCAAACTCGGATCATTTGTTGCTTTTACAGAGGTTTTTAAATTTAACCTAATCTGTACTGCAACATTTAGCACAACCATCTAAAGGTCTCCAGCCTGTACTCTATTACATATAGAACAAACCACCCACAGGGAGAGCAAATAAAGATGACTCCATGGGAAGACAGGGGTCATTTGTCCAGTTTACTGTCCTTGGTGTAAACATGTAAAAGATGCCACATTTCTTCCTGCAAAGTGAACTCCAGGGGTGTGCAGCGAGGCTCTAATTCACCCCACTGTGAAAAGAATGTGCCCCAGAAATGCTTCTGCTCCTCCCATAATTCAACCTGCACTGCATTTGCTGACCGGTTTCAAACCTGTTCTGTGGCATCTGGCTGCTCCAGGTCCTTGGGGGGGACAGGACAGGAAGACTGCAAGGAGCCTCAGGGGAGGGGAGGCAGAAGAGGAAGACTGTGGAAAAAACAGCAAGCAGCCTTCTCTGGGCAAGGATTTGCTCGGTTAGGCAGCTCTGTCACTCCAGCAGCACTGGGGGTACACTCTGCTCCAGCTGAAACCCTTCCAAATTCAGTTAAGAGCCCTCCAAAACCAAAGCCACCTTTATAAAACAGAGATTCCTAAAATTCACA